AGCTGAAGCTATTAAACAACAGAAAAGCGAGTATGTGATGATTGAAAATCCAGATGATTTGACATTTCGACCAATAGTAGGCGGACCTAACAGTGTAACCCAACGGCTTAGTCATTTTGTTGACTTAATTTTGAAGCCACTTTGTTCTTCAGTGAGGAGTTTTATAAAAGACGATTTTGATTTTCTTAAACATTTGCCAAAATCTGTTCCTCCCAATTCTAAACTTGTATCTTTTGACGTCGTCAGCTTATATACAAATATTCCACATGATTTAGGAATTGAAGCTATTACGTATTGGCTTAAGAAACATCCAGATAAGATTGATAATCGTTTTGCTCATGAATTTATTATCAAATCCTTAGAAGTTATTTTGAAAAGAAATGTCTTTTATTTTGATGGCAATCACTACCAACAAATAAAGGGAACGGCCATGGGTACAAAAATGGCACCTACCTATGCAACACTTGTGTTAGGTTATTTGGAAGAGAAACTCTACACCAATATAGAATGTAAATATGGTAAAGTGTTTTCAGAATATGTACAAAACAATTTTTTTAGATTTTTAGATGATTGTTTTATTGCATGGCCTTCTGATATGTGTATTGACAAATTAAGTGAGGAAATGAATTCTCTACATCCGGCTATACGCTACACAATGGAAATGGATGAACATGTTTTACCCTTTTTGGATGTTTTAGTTAAATTAGAAAATGATAATATTGCAACTGATTTGTATTCAAAGCCTACTGATGCTCATAATTACTTAGATTTTTATTCAAATCATACTAAACATATTAAAATTAATATACCTTTTAATCTCGCATCTAGAATTGTAACAATTGTAAGTGACCCCAATATGCTGGATGTGCGACTTAAAGAACTCATGTTTTTCCTGAAGTCGCAGCATTATCCGGACGAGATTATTCGTAGTGGTGTAAATAGAGCTATAGAGAAGGGACCTTTTACATCCCGTGTAGAAGCCAACGATGACCAAGGAATTATTCCTTTTGTATCTACATACAATCCACATAATTTTGCTATGTACCCTATTGTAAAAACCAAAATCGATGACTTGCAGAGAACTAGCGTGCGTATGAAAAATGTTTTAGCTAAACATAGAATTATCAATAGTAAAAGACAACCCAAAAATCTCAAAAGGCTATTGAGTTTTTCCAAGTTTGAAACGAATCAAGCTGAACTTATTGTGTCTAAATGTAATTCGCCCAGATGTGGAACATGTAAAATAATTATTGAAGGTTCTACTTTTGTTTTCAAAAATGGATTTAAATTCACTGTACGTTCTAGTATGAATTGTAAGTCGAAGAATGTTATATATGCTATAGTGTGTGTTAAATGTTTGGAATTTTATATTGGCCAAACTGGGCGTGAACTACGTCAAAGAATGACTCTTCACAAGCAACAAACAATCCATGATGACCTTAGATTTTTACAAGTGAACAAACATATTCATAACTGTGCTAACAATAACTTCAAAGTGTTCCCTATTTACCAAATGCATTCATCTGATGTGATAAAGAGGGAAGTTAAGGAGTCGGAGTTAATGAAACTGTTGAAACCCAGTCTGAATAGTTCACATTAAATTCAACGTGTCATGCTTTAAGCAATTGCTGTGCTTTAAATATTATTGTTCATATTTTATTGTTGCCGTAAATGAAACAATTTGTATCTCCCGTATTTTTTATTGTTGGTAAGATCATAAAGTTATGCATTTGTCTAAGTAATGTAACGTCACAATTTAGCTTGTATTGTTGTTGACGTCATGGATTTATGTGTATGCCTTCTGTGACGTCATAATGACTTTGCATTATTGATGACGTCATACTTTCTTGTGTAAACAACTATGACCTCACAATACCTGTTTTCAAAATAAACAGTCTCCTGATGAACGGGGAATCAACCCGAGAAAGGCCTAGAGACGCTATCTCTGTCTTTTGTTCTATTTTTCATATATATATATATATATATATATATATATAGGTTTATAAGATATAGGAGGGATACATACATTGGATGTGATTTATACATTAACTAACATACACTTTACCTAAACAGTTACATAACCTTATCACCAGTTAATTTTCTGCAATATATAGACACACCTGATCCCGCTCTGCCGACACAGGTTATTATACCCCCGCAACGAAGTCTGTCTGTCTGTCTGTCCGTACACAAAATATTTTATCTCCTGCTTCTGCTTGGTTTACGTATGGATTTTGATGAAACATTGCACACATGTTGTCCCGCAAATGATATTGTGTCGATCAAAACATCATTGTGGTCCTTCAATATTTACTAGAGTAATGGACCTTACCTACTGTAGACGGTACTGTATACACATATACATTTCAATGTTGTAGACTTTGAAAAAAAGGTACTCTACTGACAAACTGCTGAGGTCATTGTATCGAAGGTCAAAGGTCACGAATTAATTACGTTACTGAAATGGCTAAATATATCGCAAACGGGCGGTATTTTGTATCTCATATTTATCGGAATATTGTAGGAATTAATGTAAGCTACTCTACTGACAACATTCCGATGTCTTAGGGTCAAATCCGAGTTCTTGTGGTCTAAGGTCAAAGGTCACAGATGAATTACGTTACTGAAATGGCTAATTATCTTGGAAATGGTAGGAATTTGTTCTATACACATATGCAAACTACTCTACTGATAGCCTCCGAGGTCGTTGGGTCAGATGTCAAAGTTCGAGAATGAATTACGTAATTGAAATGGCTTATTATCTAGGAAACGGCAGGCATGTTATATACACATTTACATTGAAATATTGTAGGCATTAATACAAGTTACTCTACTGACAAACTCCCGGGACTTAGGGGTCAGAGGTAAAGGTCATTTATGAATAACGTTACTGAAATGGCAACAATGTAATTATCTTGGAAACAGTAGGTAATTTGTATACTCATATTCATTGGGATATTATAGGTATTAATGCGAGCTACTCTACTGACAAACTCCCGAGATCGTGGGGTAAAAGGTTAAAGATTACAAATAACGAATAACGGTACTGAAATGGTAATTATCTCGCAAATGGTATATAGTTTTTATACACATAAACATCAGAGTATCGTAGCCAATTATGCAGGCTACGTTGTGACAGACCTCCAAGGTCGTGAGGTCAAAGTTCACATATGCACTATGTTATTGAATAGGCTAATTATTGCAAAAATGGTAGGTATTTTGCATATACATACATTAGAGTATTTTAGCAAAATATGCAGGCTATATTATGACAAAATTCCGAGGTCATCGGGTCAAAGGTTTATGTACATTTTCACCTTCTTTAGACAAATGACCACTGATGCGTATGCACACACAGGTGACAGTGTACATATCGTACTAGTCATCGAAACGTCACATAGAAAATGTTATTTGTTGTGTAAAAATTACTTCTCATAATACTTACCAACCTGAGGAAAATATCACAGTAGCGGTGTTTGTCTTCCATTGGTCTGTTGGTACGACATTTGAGGTAAGGCTTTTTCATGACCCCATTATATTTATATATTTTGTTTCACTTGTTAGTTTAGCCCCTACAAGGGCAATACGCAGCCGGAACGCGTAGAGTATTAGTCAGCACAAAGGCGACAGCTGTTTTTAATAATACTTGACCGGTTATTAGTCACCATTGAACCTGTATCGGAACCCGCAGGTAACTTTGAATGTAACCTGCTAATTGATAGAATATCTTAAAATTGTGCATATCAATATAAATATCAAGGGGGAACAACTGCTATTGGGGTTGATTTTAAGGGCTAAAATTGGCTTGCGTTACTAGATAGGAAAAATCAAAACGCTATTCACGTGCTGTTAATAAGAGTGAGGACACTCATCTGTCAGAGCCATGTACATGTAGGACCTTACCGCTTTACGCTACTTCTCGTTTGAGGCAATTCACAGAGTAACGCCTCATTGAATTTCAATTATGTGTGAATCATTAGTTATGAACTGTGGAATTGATTACACAGTATCACAGACCCATTCGTGAAATGTGCATTTGTTTTCTCAATTATTCCACAGATTAACATTATGTAATTAAATAGTCCGCATTATCTGCGTAAAGGGTGATTATTTCTTCTCCTATTTTTCTGACAGTCGCCTTTGTTTTCCAAATTAATTGTATAGCTTTATCTTGTTTATGGTCATTTGTACTAAACATATTAACTGATGCCGACTGTATAGTGCTATCTCACTGAAATACCATGCCGAAGGTATCCAACACACCATTCCGTCACATTATACCGCCAACAGATAAACCAGTTGTTGCCACTTCTCTAAATGCTGAACGTAAAGCAGCTAATAATAAACACCAGTTTAAGGACTTTCGTAGGTCCTGGCCTTGCGACAGAACCCAATGCCTTCATCACCCGGGCGAATGTTCAACATTTAGGCCAAAAGTGATATATTGCAAAGCAGGGCTCTACGAAATATCTTATCTCATTTTTTCTGAAAGTCGCATTTGTTTTCAAGATCAAAAATTTTAATTTACCCTGTTTATGATTATTTGTTCCAAATATGTAATCAAAATATGTAATTTTAAAACTATTCCTTAGCGTTTTACCACAATTCAAAACAACTGAATTGATTATTGATCTTCGTGTCGTTTACGTTCTTATTTTGTAAAATTAACGGACCATACGATCCAATCGTCTAAAAAGACGATGTGATGTGATGCAATTCAATCTGATACACGCCATCGATCCAATACAAACGACAACGCTGCGCAAATAATGCTTTGGCGATATGTAGACGATGCGTTAAAATGGAACTTAAAGCTTCAACAGTACTGTAAAGTAGTTAAACTATAATATCGGGTTGACAAGCTAAACCTTGTTTACATCATCTTCGATTGAATAAGCGCTGCAATATATATTTGAACATCTGATAGAAAAAAACACTAATAATAGTGTGTTCAATTTTCATTCATTTATTGATTTTGTTTTGTTTACTAGTTTTTACTTTTTTTTCAGATGAAACTGTTGACATCACTGTTTATCAGAAAAAGTGCGACGGAAATGTTGATGAACCTCTTTCGGCCGCAGAGGTCCCGATTGGTGGGAAATCAATAGACGACGAATTCGAATCTTTTATTGCAAGCATTGTTGGTGAAGATAATTTCAAGATATTTGCGATCGAAAATGTGGTGGAATACAACGATCTTTTCCGTGATTTTGAAAGAAAGAAAATATCATTTCATGACAAGCCAGAGATAATCCGCATTCCTCCATTTCTATTACACAAGCTAGAAATGAGAGAGGCTGTGAAGACATCTCCCTATGGTGAAGACTTGCATGTTATAGGTGATAAACTAAAGATTTCAGATAGACTGTTTAGACGATTTTTTGATCCAACTATAAGGGAAATCCTTAAACGCATCGACAAAATCTTGACAGAAGAAAAATCCCATGATGTGAATGACTTATTTGTGGTTGGGAGTTTTGCAGAATATAAACTTGTCCAGAATACAATCCGTGAAAAGTTTGGTAAAAAGCGGATTATCATACCCCATCAGGCTGATTATGCTGTTAGCAGGGGATCTGTACTATACGGGCACATTGCCATGATGCCCACGGTGACAAGGTATACCTATGGCTGTCAACACTGGCCAATGTTCAACAATAAAGAACATCCTCTGAACAAACTTATGGTTCTCAACGGAGAAATCCGATGTAAAGATATATTCTACACGCTTCAAGAAAGGGGTGTTACTGTATCATCTGGATACAAGGTGTCTCACCTCGTTCAGGTGTTGGTCCCAAAGGATGGCACGCTGAATGTCACAATATACGTATCAAAAGGACAGGAACCACGGTTTATAGACGATGACGGCTGCACACCACTGGGAACTATGACAGTACATTTAGCCAGTTCAATGCAAGGACCAGTGGAGTTGAACAAAACATTGACATTCCAGGACAATGGTATTGTCCTCGAAATCACAGAAAAAGCAACTGGACAACTGTATGATACGACTTTTCCTTTTTTGTAAGTTGTTCAGATTGGAATTATGTATATAAATGATAATATTCAGGTTATATACTTCCACCCATTTTATCTTAATATGCAATGTATGTAACAAAACAAATATCACAAGGTGAATTATTCCATTATACAGTGAAACGTTGACACTGAATATCAGTTTATATCAGGATAGTTATTCACTAGCGTAGAAAAGGTCATATTAGCTTAAAATCAAAAGTGATCAATTGATGAATTTAATTTTCTTTTGTGTTTTTACAATTGAAATATAACAAAATATGAATGCGTGATATATAATATATATTTAAAATACTGTGGTATGTTGAAAGCAAAACGTATCAGATCACTCTTGAAGCTACGTAATCCTACATCTTGTTTTTCGCATAGGTATTTTGTCGTTCTCTTTTAAAAAAAGTAATTAATATCAAATGTAATGGCTGCCCTGTTACTCGTATGGCAAAATATGTCTGTATTTTCACTTGTGCTTCACACTCATAAAAAAGGAATTACGGTTACCACTGGAAAGCAATAAATATCCTCTTTATAATTTGAGATAATGATGCTGATTGAAGCACGTGTTCAAATCAAATCTGAACTAAGAATATCTCTTAGACTCTCCTGACAGAAAGGACACATGTATTCAGATTTACTCCGATGTTCAAAATATACTGAGACAAGCGTTGATAGCATCATAAACTTCCCCTTTCAGATATGGTGTGATGTGAGCCGTAACCAAAGACAGATATCCAGGACATGATGCATGGTTAAACCAGTCATATATGACATACTAACGTTCAATACCAATGAGGTATCCCTAGTATGAGAAACATGTGACACATTGTGTGACAACAGTTGTCCTTGACATTTGCGGTGTGTATTTAGCCAGACTGTTTATTTTTCATGCTTTAGAATAGTACTGCTTACCATTAATTTTGGGTATCTTTGTTGCTTACATTATCATGTAACTTGTCTTAAACACTTAGAACTCACTGTGGATATTGGCGAACGACATTTTCTTATGTATTTACAGAATTTTTATCTGTGAGAGGAATAAGGGGAGTTTTGATACACTTACGTGCTTGCAGCACATTGTTTTCAGATGTGAAGTTTAGATAATGTAAACAATTTGTTACTCTAAATAGGTGTTACCGTTTCAAAAACATGTGGTATAGCAAAAATATCACATTTTTGTAATTTAAATATAGGAAATTTGCATTTGATATAATCTCAATTGGAATATCACATCTACATACGTTATGACATAAAGTCCTGTATCGATTTTACATGTATAAACCAATCAGAACGGTGTTTTCTATTCACTGCATTTAAAGCTGGGTTTTTCTGTTCCGCTGCAAATAAACTCCGGTAGAATAAATCGTTTATTTGTAACTATTCAGTACATACACTCAGTTATATCGATATCTTCCGTAATAAAATCCTGGCAGATAATTAAACACACTTTCGATTAACATCCAGAAACTATTCAGAATTTCGCTCAGCCTTCTTGTTAGGCATAACGACATCACATTATTGTGCTAAAGACTACGCTGCTTAATCCTTTCCTGCACTTTGTAGATGCAGCAATAGTTTTGTTGTTGCAATTATTATGTACATATTAGAAAATGTTATGTGTTTCCCCGTTGAATATATAAAATGTTACGCTCTCTGGTGCAATATACCGGTATTCAAAATTTTGCTCGTTATAACTCGTAAAAGTGTTGAAAATGATTACGAAACCTGACAACAATGTCCTATAGAAAACATCAAGGACAGACTATGTATGTTCAGTACCTAAGAGTAAAACACCTTTTTTGTTCCAAACAGTCGGTTCGATCATAATCATAATAAACCAAACTTAACTGATGGAAAATCAAAATGTTTTACTGCTACGAAAAACCCTTTCTTCATTTCAGGAAACCAAAAACATTGTTTGCCATTGTCACAATGTTATGACGACGGAAACAGTTAATTATCGGTCTGACGAGCCATGCGCAATATATTATGCATATGCTAGAGCATACTTTGTCAGCTAAGTATATTATCTGTCCATTTAAAGACATGATCAATGTGAAGCTAGTGGTTTAATGATGAAATACGTGTTACTAATGATTTATTTTTCAATTATGTTTTACATTATTTGTATACTATCATCTCACTAGATTCAATATAACACATGCAGGATAAGAGAGGAGACCCTCTGTAGTTATTAACGAAACATCGTTCATGACATTTTTATTCATGTTCGCATTGCTGTCGTGTATGATTGTTTCATGCTGAGTCGCCAGGTATCTGTCACTACATCTGGTACATACAATAATAATAATACCGGTTTTTTATATTTTTTTCATTCTGCTCAATTTTCATTATTGTCATATATTATCATGCTAAATTTTCTCAGTATTCTATATAAAATAACTATAAAATAACGTATGACGATCTTATATAACATCATCAAAAGAAATAAACTCCACGATTGTAATTTGTTTATGAATCACTCGTTCGATTAAATGAAACGAGCATTCGGTCGATCAGTTATCAATTACATTAAAAGGATCGGTAACAAGCAGTTCCTATAAAATGTAGCAATACATTTTTATCATATCATAATATATAACAATGCACGGTATATTGTTGCCCAGATCATCGATATTTTATTGATATTTTGTATTGTGCATCTGTGAATATTCTCATTTCCTGAAACAAATAAAAAAAAAATACCTTATACCTCGAACATTTAGGGTTTGTAATCATTTTCCGTACAGTGTAATTTTCCTATGGATAACAGAATCTTGGGCTTGCAAAATTTATGAATTGTTTGAGTATTGGCACAATTTGTAGCACGCAACATTAGCGTGTTGTGTTAACGTGAAAATGATAGTTATTTGTGTTGACATCGAAGGGGATCTATTTTGTTTTCTCAACATTTGAAGTGTCAATTGGTCATCAAAACATGATGTCCAAGTTGGATATTAGTATCTACCGTGACGAAAGCTTTTTTTCAATTGTCTAAGATCAATGAGTAAAGCAAACTCAACTTGTTGTGATGGAGGCCCCATACATATGTCCGATGACATTAAACACATGACAGACGATGTCATACACGTGCACATTAGCTCATGTTATGTAAGGTTGACCAGGTACATATATCATCCTGGAATTTGTGAGGATGTTGATATATATGGGCGTAATACTGGTATGACGTGAGGGCCAATAGATATAATAGAAGTTATTTGAAAATAACATAATCAATTAAGCTATGAATATTAATATTGATAAAATAGTGCCAATAGCGAAATAGATGATTTCTAAGAGATAATTATTATAGAGAATAAGAAAAGTGATAATAAAACTGTTTTATAGAAAGTAAGAAAATACTAGAAAACACAATATCTAAACTCACAATTTATTTGTCAGCACACAGACAATATCCAAACTCCCAAAATACTTGTCAGTACAGAGAATATCGGCACAAAGACAATATCTAAACTCAAAATTTATTTAACAGCACACATACAATATCCAAACTCCCAAAATACTTGTCAGTACAGAGAATATCGGCACAAAGACAATATCTAAACTCAAAATTTATTTTTCGGCACACATACAATATCCAAACTCCCAAAATACTTGTCAGCACAGAGAATATCGGCACAAAGACAATATCCAAACCCCCAAAATACTTGTCAGTACAAAAACAATATCCGAATTCGCAAATTACTAGTCAGCACAAAGACAACATCTGAATTCAGTTAAGTACTATTAAAGATCGAAACAAAATCTGGGACCGAATTCTTGAAATTGTTTTCATTATCATACTCAAGGTTCAAGTTAAATTTATTGTACCCGTACTAACAAAAGATGACATTCTATCAATGACTTGGAAGAATTGTGTATTGACTTAATCTGAATACTGTTTTCATTATTCAAGCTTGACGTTTGATCGTCCTACATTATTTGAGCAAGTTATAAGAAAAGAAGCTTAACCACAACATCCATGATTAAGCATGAAAAACGTTTTCCTGAAAACGGACCCAAACTCAACACAATTCCAGACAATACCAGGAAAAAATGTCTGAACTCAATATGAATACAAAGAGACAATGACAAACAGAACCTTACATGCAACAATAAACATGGATCGTATCTTGCAATAAGGAAGACCTGAACAAGTTGCGCCATTTTGTTTTTAAATTATTAACAGAACAATCAATCATTACATATAGCTTTCAAAAAAAGTGTTCAAATGTTGTCCAGTGTTTCCTGTATCAGTTGTTTCCTGTTAAATGTCGACATGTATATTATCCCAAAGCGTATGCAGTATTGCTCAATTTACAAATGTACTCCGAGTACAAGGCCAGTTTTACCACCACCTGCGGGTAAATTAAAGCCTTCATGTGATACCTTTAATCATTAAATCCCCCGATATAAATATGATTCACACCTATGAATTAGTGTAGATATATCCGCTGTGTTTACGATTAAGTGTCCAAACCGCTATGTACCGACCTGATTGTTTTCCTATTTTTCAGGAGATTACGGCATATATTCAGTTAGGTGAAACAGATAGGCGTTGTTTAATCTATGTTTATATCATGATTATATCAACTGGTTTCTTACGTGTTTATGTCGCACTGATAACGGATTTCTCTCCACAGAAGACAAACAAAACGTTCTTTCTATTTTAGCGACATCTTTTGTTTCACATTCTAACACGATTCGTTTGCAACGCGTGCTTTGATTGGATACGGACCATGTTTTAATCTGCGATAGAATCATGATCAATCGTGTTAAGGTCCTCCCATCGCACTTAAGCCACGCCCCGTTTCAAACCAAAACAATATGGCGTCAAGCTCGCCTCTTAGCGAAATCCCGCTGATAAGGCTAGCAGGCAACAGAACAGAAAGTAAACGACGGATGAAATGTATTTGTTGAATGAATTTATAAGTAAAATGTACTCATTCCTTCGTCTTACCTCCATTTATTACTGAAACGTTCATTCTATCCGTGTGAAGGCATATATTTAGATCCCAAATCAACAGAAGCATTTCACATGTGTCGTATGCATTTACACAAAACTCTTCACAAATCTATACAACATTTTGTCGATAAGCACAGATTGGTATGCATACTGACATGGAAATGTAAGAACTTGGTCAATACCAAGCCAAATATGTCGTATAAACTTCGGTAACAGGACGTTCACGAACAATCCAAATATTCCGCCTCGTCAACACAGATCGAGCGCTCGCCAGTATGGGCGGGGCCAAATGACCGACTTTTGAAAGCTTCTTACCGATTGGTCAGTCCGCTGCAGATTGACACGTCGCCAGTTCAGGTCACAAAGTATTCTTATACATGTACGTACTTTTGTACAAGGAAATACAATGCTTCTAAACATGTTAGCGTAGTATATTTGTTAAGGTGTGTTAGAATGGGGATAGTACGTAGTTTTTCGTGTCTATACTGGCGATTAGAACATGAACTTTGGTTTAAACTCTCGACCTATCGGTCTCGAGATCAAACCCAAATTTCATGTTCTAATAGCCAATATAGCCACTCAAAACAACGTACTATCCCCTAAATACAAGCGAATTATTTGTTCCATTGTGTTATCACTTCTTTTAAATGGAAAAATATAACCGACTTTATCTGAAACAGACCACTAAATTAGATACTCAATACGCGCGAATAATTCAATTTACTGTGAATTGAAACCTCATAGCAGGTGATGATATCGCATCTACCTCCGCATAAACAACCTGAATACGTGGTACATATAGTAAGTCATTGGCGCAGCACCCATGTGTGTTGTTTCAATTTACGCAACTATTTTCTGATTGTAAATCTATCAATAGAATGATCTGAAAATCGTCACAAGGCGATTTTTCCACACTTTTTGCCGGATAATGAAGGAAGGATGAACATTTATATTTTTCCTGCGATTTCGATTTTTATCAACGATTATACTAAACGTTATTATTTAAAACAAATTCATTTATTAACCGAACGGTTAATCAATGTTATAAGGTGGAATACATTGCTAGGTGTCTTCGGCATGATATTTCAGTGAAATATCACTGTAAGATCGGCAAAATCCACTCCTTCCTCACTTAGGTGAACGGTCAACATTAAAACCAAAATTGAGGAGAACATGTCTTTTCATACTCTTGATTATTAGAAAACAATCAAAATAATTACCTATCGGATCAATTTAAAACTTTGAACTATCAATGTGATAGAAATGATATAAGAAAAAATTCCTCAACACATATTTGGCTTTCTTTAAATGTGATACATAAGAAAGAGGTATGGCGCATAAGGTACCCGTTTCCTATACCCTTTGAAGGGAAAAAAGTGTCGATATAGTAAGGTAAAGGCGAACATATCAAAGTCAGTTTTACACTAATACCAAAGGTCACAAAAGTAAATTCCCCCTCTTAAATGTTAAAATACGTTCAAAGGAAGTTAGAAGTTAGGGAAAATAGGGCTGGACAATATATCATCTGGAAAAGTCATTGGAGTACTGATAAAATGTACGGATCACATTACATACTCTCTTCCATGATTCTAAACAATATTTGTTCTTTCTCAAAGCTGTTAGCAGAAAGAAGTAGACATTTAGGACGATGTCTACGGTTCTAAAAGAGTTGATCACTTTCAGGTATTGGTTTCAAAAATATGCCATCTTGAATTTCATAAATATTTTGTCACGAGAATGAGACACTCTGATACAACATTTCGGAAATAAACATTTATATAAAGAAACAAAACTACTGCTATATGACATTAAACATGCAAATTGCAGTCCCGTAATATGGTAAGAGTTATGGACCGCATAATAAAAGTGGTCGTGGTTGTCTTGTGTCGTGCTTCGTTCGTTAACAAATGAACATATTCGACTCTTCAGATCCATTAAAGTGATTGACTTAAAACTTCGTGCATATGTTCTTATGGGGTTCTGGCTAAGTGATGTTTCTTTTCGTGGCGATCACTACGACCTCTGAGTGGACTCAGAAACGATGCTTACAATGGACATCAAACTTGGTGTAAATTATTTGTATGTGGCGAAGACTTAATATCGCCTAGGTTCCCTTGCGCTCTGCTCCGTACACTTTTGTGCACATGGCATAGACTGAGTGATCATGTTTGTAGACTAGAACCAAGCTAATAGAGGACTGTTCTACAGACATACTACATGTATATGCTTATCGCGAAGGCTGCTGGTTGTTGTTTGGAAACCAGAGCGAGAACTTATGACTTGTGTTTTGTTTTCATTTGGGTTTCAAGCTCTTTTAAGGGTCAAATATTGTAATCCTCTCTGAAAATGAATCCGATTTACAGTCTCTTTTTGCTCCCCTTTTAGCGAAGTCTTCCGCAGAACTTATTAATATCTTAATATTTCAATTTATTTTGATAATACAAGTCTCGCAATACTTTGGCCTATGCACGAAAAGCTATCGTAGCTCTACGTTATGAATAATATTAGTATTTGATTTTATTACGTGACCAGCTGGGTCAAAGTTACAGATACTTATGCAAATGTATAGTAAAAAAAATTCTCTACAATCCAGGTATTACGCTCACTGTCCTCTCAGCACTCATGGAATATGCCATAGCGAATTCAAATGCTTAGTATGCACCACCTTCTGGGCACCAATTTAATTAGCTAGCCGCGTGCCTTATGTTTCCCAGTGACATTTTACAGAGGTACAGAGAGCGAAAATGAGCATA